GGGAATCACCGATTATGAAGTCGGCCTGCTCAAACATTCCTTTGGAGAGAATTGGTTCAAAGTGATCATCACTTTCTTTTACACCGAGGAAAAAGGCGCGAACGACTGTCTTGTTTCACAAACCTTTTGTCACCCGCACCATACTACTCGTAAATCGAAGGACCCGGCGATAAGACAGTGGGAATTAAAAGTCGTGAAAGAATATTTAAAAATTTTCCTTAGCTTCAGTGCAGGTAAGCAGATAAAGTTATTACAGAATGTTTTTCGATGTTATCATTTCTCATGCGTCCTGTGGATAAGCCATCTGGCAGATTGACTCACACTTTGCCAACCAGTGGTGAAGAAGTCTGGAGAACTGCGTGTTTGCAATGCCCAATCGACTTGTTGGAGACGTGAATGTTCACTAAAGTTGACTCAAGCCCTTGCATAAGTTTTTTAGCACTTGGAGCTTGGTCACAAAATATGAATGACATACGAACGAACTTCGTCACCCCGGTATGGTCGTTATTGCTGCCTTCAGCTGTCGTCTTCAGTTAACTTCTTAAGTGAGACATTTTATAGGTTTCTCCACCAAGAATCCCACTGTGAAGCGAAAGTGAAAATGATATTGTTATTCGTGGCATAGTTGATACGGACCATTGCAGCAATTTGGAGTAGTTCGTGCTCAGGTATCAGGAGAAGGATAGGAAATTAAACAATTGGAAACAAGCACTCACTGCTTCTTAAAAAGCAGAACGTTTCAAGAAAAGCACTTATTTACATATAATCATCTACATACCACAGATAAACAACTAAGTACTGCTCTATAGTAAGCTTAACTTTATTGCGATAATAAAACTGCTCAAAAGCACGGCGAGTCTAAGTCTGAGTTTATTAAAATGGAATTTATTGTCAAGGGAGAAGAGAGCCCACGCTTATCAAATTTGTAGCTGAATTTTTCTATAAGAAAATTAATTACTTGAAGAAGGTCATCCCATGAAATTGCTCGCGAAAACTCATATCGCAAGAATCACGAGGCGATTCGCGCGATTTGTACGAAAACAAAATTAAAATTTGAAAGGAAAGCGTCTGTGGAACAATTTAAACAATATGCTATCCTGGGTTACTGGTGAAATCGCCCCAATACATGTTCTGTCTATCAACCTAACATATAACGAGGTCGCCCCCACCTTTACCAGTTCGCTCCCAAATAGTAAAAAACTCGTTTGTAAAGCTGTTGATCA